GAGTTATCATTTTTTTTTTTAAAATAGGGTAAAATCGAATGCCACGCAGAGGTACAGACGAACGTGCCTACACCGATTCAAAATTTGATATTGATCCAGAAAATATAAGATGCTTGAAGCTTTCTTAGGGCTGTTCCAAAAGTTTTAACGACATAATCATGCCCGTATGAGATTACCGAACGTAGTAAGCTACGCCTCTCCATGCTGCGATGATGCGTTTAAATATGCGTAAACAAATTTCAAGGCAAAGCAAAATAAAAAGCCAACCATTTGATAATACGAATCAATAATAATAATAAAAATAATAAGAGGAAGAAATTACGAAAAAAAGTAACAACAAAATGCAAGCAAAACAAGTGATAAACACATACATGAACATAAATGTCACTTTTTCGCTCAATTACAAACTTGTTCGCATGAATACAAAAAAAAAAAAAAAAAAAAAAAAAAAAGAAAAGAAACATTAAAATTGTGTTCAAAACAAATGAAATGTAAAGCGAAAGACGCATTTAAAAAACAATAACAAAAACACGAGAACACAATCATAGATACATATTACGCATATATAGATGTACGTTTGCGTGTTGTTTATCTTGTAAAAGTATGTATACGAAAAAATTAAAAAACAATTTATTACCAACGATATCAAAACAATAAGGTTATTTAACATATATTTACACACGAATAGAAGCCACGATGAAAAAAAAAAAGCGAAAACACAGAAAGAAAAATGAAGCAAATATGATTTGTTTTTTTTCCTGTTTTTAATCGAAACAAAAATTTTATATATTTACATTTTCCTTGGACAGATTCATGGTCGACTCCAATATGGTTTAAAATTGATGTTGTTTTTAGATTTCATTTAATTGCTCAGTTACACTTGTTATTGTTTATGAGTAAATATCGTGATAAATATACGGTTGTTTTTCAATTAATCGAATAACGTTCATAGAAATTATGTTTTATTGCAATTTTTTTTTTGACGTATATGTTATATTTTTATTTACACTAAGATATCTATCTATATGTATATATGAAGAATTTGTAATAGGTTTCATTAACGTTGCTGTTTATTATTTATTATGTTAACATAAGGACTATTATCAAACCATTCCAGCGAATGATTATTTGGTAGATTTTCTCCTCTTACTTACGACTAACAATGATAGCTTAATGTTTATAGCACTACATACGGAGGGATCTATATAACTTGTGCTTTCTGCGGGAGACTTCATTTCCCTAACATTCATCTCCAGTTTTTCATCGTCCCTGTTTTTCGGAAATTGTACGTTGAGTAATTGAGAGATTTGAAATAGAAAACTAAAACTTGGCAGCTTACTCAATAAGTCTCCGGTCTGGCACGTACAATGGATGCTTGTAATTTTAATGGCTATTGAAACAAATATTTCCCTTATAATCGTTTTAGAGCAAATTCCTATAAACGGTACGTTTTAGAGCAAGAGTTGCCATTTGAAATTGGAACGGTGAAGGTAGCATTTTACAGAATAAGTGGATATTGCCATCCTCCACATCTTTAGCACCAATTGCAGGCCACAACTAATAGGAAAGTTAGCTGGGGGTCGTATCTCCCATACCCTCTACTATGCTTTTCCGATTCTGTTCTCCAAGGTCTTTTATATGATACCCATATTAGCTGGTATTATTAAGAAAAAATTAATCGCGGTATCTACCATATCCAGTTTTAGGCAGGAAATATGTTTTCATTTTAGGAATGTACAAAATAGTTTTGAACGCTCTGTCTTGTTTGCGTTATTATAAATAAGCGCGTAAACTCTCAAAAAAAATAAAAGAAATGAAATTTAATCACTTGCAACTTTTTGTGGGCGTGACCGATTTTTTCCAAGTAAATGTGAGAAATTTCAGCCTTCTAACTTTTATAATTTGTGAGTAACGAGCAAAAACCCACAAAGTTTTGT